CAATAATGTTATAGTGCTGTTCGTTAATGAATTGTAGAATCGTCGTCAAAAATTTATTGGCATGCAGCACTTTCAGTAACTTTTATTAAAGAAAAAAAAACTAATTATAATTGACGTTAAATAACTATTAAACTTTAAACGGCCTTATTATAAATCGAACCAATGGTGTTGAACGCCATATAATTTTTTATTATAATTCGTTGTCAATACTTAAGATTAGGGTTAAACATTAAGATAAAATTAGAGGTTCTAGGCTAAAAATCAAAGCTAAAAATAAAAAGTTTTTTTTTGGTTACTGAACATTTTTATTTAATACATCCGGCTTTGATTTTTTAGAGAAATAGCAACTGTGGTGTTAAACACTACTGGTGTAATTTAACAATGCCTTTATACTAAAGGGTAAATTAAATTATTAAATATTTTCTCCATAAAATTGGGTTTCATTTATGAATTTAAAAAAATATAAATAAAAATATAGAATTTGGTTAAACATATCAATGTTCAGTCTTGTGGTGCGATTTTGCTTTGTCCGTGGTGCTATGTTCTTCAGCTAATATATATTGGATTGTAATATCTTCCATATCATTAGTACCTTTAATAACATCATCAATGCAACTTTCGACCTCATTCAAAGTTGTTTGATCTAACGCTTGCTTGAATTCCAATATCCGAGTTCTTAATTCGAACGTTGCGCAAGGGTAATCATTTTTGAATTTTATATACGGATTTTTAGTCACAACTGGTGTGTTAGGTTGATGTGGTCCACGTGGCATGCCATAAAATGGTAAGCGAGGTAGAACTATGAATATAAAAAGTTAATGCATGTTTCAATGATTTTTTTTTTTTAAGATTAATCAAGTGCAATAGTAGGTTTAATAAACGTAATAATTAAATTATTTACTATTTCTTTTTTCTTCAGCAAGAATGAAATGAGGAAGAGCTACGAATATAAAAAGTTAATAAATGTTTCAATGATCTTTTAAGATAAGTCAAGTGCAATAGTAGGTTTAATAAATTGAATAATCAAGTTATTTACCTCCTGAAACAAGAGATATTTGAGCAAGGATAGCAACAGATACCAAAAGAACAAAGGTAGTGATCAAGAATTTCATTGTAATTTTGTAAACAGACGATATTTTGTTTGAAGGGACTATTGGTAAGTTAATGATAATAGATATTGTCGAGAAAAGTTAATCTTATTTATATCTTATTATCTTGGATCTCCATTTTCGAAGCCTTTCCATAAACAATACTTTATAAAAAATTTTCGTACAAAATTATTAATAGGTATTATATATTGATTAAAAGTTCGTTTAAATGAGTAATCATAGATAGAATGATTTTATTAACGTTAATGATGTAAATCTCAAATTGACCGTGAGAAAAGTTTTTAACAAATTTGCATATGGCTGATGTAACACCCTGCGTTCGTCTGTAATACATTCGAGAAAATCAGGAATGAAAAAAATTGCGATTTTTAACATTCATAATCAACATTATAGTTTCCTGAATTATTATTATTATTAAAAGAAAAAAGTTATTACGAGAAACATTCGGAATTATGTTTATTATATAAATCCAAGAAATAACTGCGATTTGGAGAAGTTCTATTTGATAGCAAACTATTTACTATACCAAAAACGAAATGGAACAAAGTTCATGGATATACGAAGAATCAAAATCAAAGTCTTTGATTAATTGGCGTATTGGGCTTGTTTGTATAAGATATAACCTGTCAACCCAATCACTGCATGAATAATGGGTATGAAGATCTAAGTATTTTACTTTTAAAATTCATATACTTTCATTTATTTATATTGATTCATATATTTAAACTGCTACACTTCATAAAAGTATTATTGATTATTTATTAATACTTGCATTTAATACGTAGAAATATTTGAGTTTATCAATCTTTACTATTATTTTATTCATGTTAATTTAAGATAAGCAGTTCGTGGATTT